ATAGTTGTTGCTCTATATTTTACTCCTATTTCACAAGTTTATATATTACATTAAATAACATAATTACAATAACAAACACAAAAGTCATCAATAGGTTTTGGAATAAACACAACTGACTCTTGACAAGCCAATAGCTGACTTAGTGGGAACAAATGAAGATCACGGTTAATTTGACAGGTTGGTTAGTAGAGGTTGATAAGGAAAGCTTTGACTATGTATGATCTGCACAAAGGTGCCATTTATTCATTCACTTACTTTTGGCTCGTGTTTTTATATGTCATACCCATTTTTTGTATAGATTGATTGATCATTCATTACTGGGAGCCATATGTTTACTGTCTTGGTATATTCCGCATTGTATTTTACATGTGACGAGTACATAATATGGTCAGATCATACAGAGAGCCGATGTTGCTCTTGTCTCTACTTCACCCAAAGATGCTCTATTCCTTTTCAGCTATCAAAACCCAAATACATTTGAAATCTAACTTAAGTTCTTTCTGGTCTCACATACCTTCCACAGCATTCCATTTCACTACAACCGACCCACTCAAATACAGCTGAACCTTGAACAACATGGGTTCGCACTGTATAAACTTATACATGGATTCTTTTTTGATAAATACAGTAGAGTGCTGTAAATGTATTTTCCTTATGATTTTCTTAATAACGTTATCTATTCTCTTTATTGTAAAAATACGGTATATAATGCAGGTAACATATGAAATTTGTGTTAATTGACTTTGTGCTAATTTGTGTTCACTTATGCTATCGTTAAGTTCTACAGTAGGCTGTTAAATTTTGGGGGAGTCAAGAGTTACATATACATGGCTTTTGGGCAACACAAGGGCATCAGCACCCCTCACCCTTGTGTTATTCAAAGATCAGCTGTATAACACTTGAAATATGCTATTTTGTACTGGCTTCCTACTGATCCTTAGATATATTATCTCCCCATTAGACTATAAACTCCCTAAGAATGGAATTGTGTTTACAGCTCCTTGGAGCCTCCTAGAATATAGCTTCTGTGATGGATACCCTGTTGATAATCAGTCACATGCCAATTGAGTAGCCCGAGGCAGCCACCTGCGGAGTTGATGGTACCAAGAAAAATGATTTTCCACTCAAGACTGACGCTAAAGATAGGCAAGGTGGTCAAAATGCCACAAGACACGGAATAAGAAAAATAGACCACCCAGTGGTTCTATGACTTGAGATAAATTACTTTTTTTCCGTGTTCCCATGGGTAGGTTGAGAGACTGGACTAGATCAGTGACTCTTAAAGCTTTGGGGGACGTAATTATCTTTGAGAATCTGACAAAAAGCTAAGGACACTGTACTTAGAAAACTGAAATGATCATGCTCACACGTAAAATCTTGTGTGTAATTGCTGAGAGCCTGTAGATATCTGGGCTGGTTGATCTGTAAGATATCTGATAACCAGGCTGGATTCTAACATTGCCAGTGGTACTGTTTCCACCAAAATGAACCAGTGAGTCTCAATCACTTGAATCAGCTAATTGGGTTTTGAGTAGCCACTGCTGACTGCCCTGTGTCTGCCCCATCAGAACCTTCCCCCTCCCGAGCCCCATCGCCCAAACACCTTCCAAAGGCAGTTAATCTCCTGAGATGCAGAATTCCCAACCCCATTCTATCCCACTATTTGGAAGAGTGCTGAAAGTGTCCACCCCGCTGGTGGCTGCCCATTTGTACCTGGGATGGCAGCGTATTCCTAGCTTACTTCCCCCTCATGCCTTTTTGCTGATGGGGAAATTGGCAGGCTAGTGTTGCTATGGGGATTTGACTGGCAACTTTGTAGTCAGAATAGAATAATTTTCTTCAGTGGAGAAAGATAAAGCTATTGTTTGAGGATGATCTAAGACAATGCTTTTGCCCGGTTCTCTCTCTCTCAACCTCACCTTTGCACTTTTGTACCTCAAGAGACGCTGAAAACATTTAAATGCAAAACCCATGACAAAATCAGAGGCAAAATGTTAAAGGTTTTGAACTGGTATTCAGTCCGCATGAGCTTTGCTCTCTCACTTGATATCATGGAATTAAATGTTAATGATTTCAGTTTCTTATTCGCTTAAAATATAGCCTTCTTTCCGGCGTTAAATGAACAAATACAGTATAATCTCCTTTTTGCGTGGGGGCGGGGGGCTGTAACTTCCACATGAGGATTGTTTAGATATTTGCAGGCAGTCCTGGGTAAACAGTGGCATGTTCTGAGAGCAATTACATGGCATTTCCTCTATAAATGCCACAGGAAGGCTTAGCAATGGAGAACGGGAGAGTTTTATCTGAAGATCATATCTTTTCTGTCAACTTTTAGGTATCGCCGGTGGCTTTCCCCTGTGACGTGATTTTGTTCTAATTTAAGTTTGTAAATGTGTTTCCATCCACTCACTAAGATTTTTCTCTCTGGTGACAAAATTAGTTTACACAAGAAGTCCATCTTTAGGGAAAGGATACCAAGAAAGAGACATGACAGAGAAAGACAAATATCCTATGACTGCACTCGTGTGAGGACTGTAAGGCACAGAACAGATGAACATAAGGGAAGGGAAGCAAAAATAATATAAAACCAGGGAGAGGGACAAAACATAAGAGACTCTTAAATATGGAGAACAAACAGGGTTGCTGGAGGGGTTGTGGGAGGGGGGATGGGCTACATGGGTAAGGGGCATTAAGGAATCTACTCCTGAAATCATTGTTGCACTATATGCCAACATAATTGGATGTAAATTAAAAAGTAGATAATTAAAAAAAAAAGAAAAAGAGACATGAGCCCTATTTTCTCCAGTGAGCATGCCCTGTGACTGCTGCTTCTCCAAACAGATGAATTCTAATGAGACACAGGCCCCACAGACTACTTGCCTGCACGGTGAGCTTGAGGAAGCATCTTCTACTGGGCTTAAGGACTCCGTTTGGCTTTTAATTCCTGCCAATGAGAAACTAAGCAAGCTCACATTCAAGACAGCCACGTATCCTCCGGGCATCTTCTTTCTGCAAAATAAGTCTCTATTTCCTTGCCTGATAAGTTGTTCATAAAGGCTAAACATCAATCTTTTTTGCTTTCTGTTATCCTCTAAATATCTGGGAGCAGAGGTATTTAACACTCGAACAACTGAGAAGTGGTCAGGAAGTAAACGATGGAGAACAGCCTCTCAGCCACGATCACCCCAAGTTTGTGTCCAGTGTCAAAGATCTTCTTAATCCAACCCTTCCTCATCAACCCAACTTGGCCTCACCATTTATCAGCTGTGTGAACTTGGGCAAGTTAATCATTTAAAGGCTCTGTTTCCTCTATAAAAATGAGGGGAGAAGGGTGTTTAATGTAATATCTCCTACATAGATACTATGAACAGTGCTTGGTACTTCACAAGCAATTGATAGACTAATTATTATTAATTAGCTAATAACACAAAGCGTCCAGCTAATGAGGCTTTCACACCATCCCCCTCCATGCACGATCATTCCCAAGTTTCATCTTGTGGTTCATATTACCTGGGATGCTCTCCTTCCCCCTCCAACTGGGAAGCCAGACAGAACAGCGTTGTCCAGTAGAAATACAATGCAAACCCTGGGTGAAAGTCGAAGTTTTTTTTTTTTTTCTTAAAAAAAATGTTTTTAATGTTTATTTAATTTTGAGAGAGAGACAGGGTGCAACTGGGGAGGGGCAGAGAGAGAGGGAGATACAGAATCTGAAACAGGCTCCAGGCTCTGAGCTCTCAGCACAGAGCCCGACGCGGAACTCAAACTCATGAACTGTGAGATCATGACCTGAGCTGAAGTTGGACACTCAACTGACTGCACCACCCAGGCACCCCAGAAATTTAAAGTTTTCTAATTGTGGAATTAAAAAGGCACTAAGAAACAAATAAAATTAATTTTAATAACATACATTTTAATCCACTGAATCCAAAATATTATCATCTCAATATATGATCAATGAGATATTTTACATTTCTTTTTTTTTGTCCTTTAAGACCCAATGTACATTTTACACTTGTGGCACATCTCAGTTCAGATTAACCATATTTCAAGTGCTGACTAGCCACATGGGCTAGTGCTATTGCATCAGAACACACAGGTTTAGAGGAGTAAGCAGTGACACAGGGTTATCTACTGGCTCTGTGATGTGGATAAGTCCCTTAAATAATGGCCAAAAAATGCTGAGTGTTTACCATGTGATGCCAGGCAGTATGCTGAGGATATAGCTCTCGTTTAATCTTTATGATAGTCCTCTTAGATAAGTACTTTTATTATACCCATTGTACAGATGAGAAAATAGAGACTTAGAGAAGTTAAATAGCAGCTAGTAAGTAGTAGAGGCAGGATTTGAGCAGCTATGAGCAACCCCAGATTTGTACCCTTACCCTCTGCATATTGCTTCCCAGGTGGGAGCTCTAAGTGAGGGCCCACATTCTCTAGAGGGTTCTTAGCAGAACCTGTGAGAAGTCAGCGAGTTAGCACAGTTGTACAATTTTGTTAAGAGCAAGAATGGCCACGAACACAATCTTCGTGGGTTTTCCCATGGTCGGTCATGCAGTTAGTCACCCTATAAAACTTAACATTTGTTTACTTTGTGAACAGATTGTGAATAGACAGAATCTGTGCTCTCCTGACCTCTGGGAATGGCGGCTGTTTGGGGAGGGTTTGTTTGTGAAACATCTGGAAGGCACAGTCCTTGAAAATGAACTCCTCTGTGGGGGTCTTTTCACCATAGTCAAGCTCATGCCGAGGAAAAGCAGATGATCTTGAAACAGGGTTTAAAACTGACCCTAAAAATGATCTACTTGCTTTTATTGGCAGGGACTTAAAAATTGTGACCTATGATTTAAAATCAAGATGACTTTTAGATAGGAAATGTTAACTCATTTTTATAAGTGTTGCTTCTAGAGTCCGAATGCTGAGTTTACATAGCCAGCCTCCCTTCCCTTTGCTCTTCCTGAATTACTGCTTCTTGTTTTGTTTTGTTTTTTTAATCAATAAAGACCAGATTTTGACAAGAGTTGGACCTTAATCCAAGAGCGGATCCAGATGGACTCCATGGTTATCAAGGGCCTTGATCCAGATACCAACTATCAGTTTGCCGTGAGGGCCATGAATCCCCATGGCCCCAGCCCTCGAAGCCGGCCCAGCGACACCATCAGGACCTTCCGTGAGTACCAGGGCCCGTCTGAAGGACAGACGTAGCTGCATTGCTGAGGTTGCCTTGCGAGGACCCACCTGACTGGGGTCTCTTAGTGCCCTGCAGGAGGGCAGCCTGGGATGAGGTTATCCCTAGCTTTTCCTGCTGTTTTCCCAGCACTTTGGAAGTTCGAGGCTCTCAACAGGGACAACAGGCTGTTTCTATGTACGGGAGGTCAGCGGAAAGTTTATTTTTACATATGATCCTTGGGGAGTTTGAGGTCAGTTTTCTTTCACAATCAGAACAAATCACATACCAAGATGATGTGCAGCCATCCCCCAGCTCTGCCCTTTTCATCTTTTGAGAAAATGGGTTCATCTTAGGGTCATAGGAGAAAAGATAATGCTCCCAGACTCTTCGGGATTTGTGTTTACCTGCATAACCGAGGACACTCAAGTAAAATCAGTCCCTCTGAATGATGGTCAGGGAGAATTAAAGTCATTGTTAGGTGGACGTGTAGCTGGGGCTCTAGCCAATGGCGGAAGTTCCTGTTTGTCATAGTGGCTCGTTGGAAGGCTGGGGGAAGCTTGGGCCACTGTCTATCAAATCACCTGAGGACTTTGTGAAAAGTCAGATTCTGATTGTGGTCCAGGGTTTAAGATGTTCCTGCATGATTCAAGCAAGAGCCACACTTAGATTACTTACACCACCTGCCGAAGCTGGCTTAGGAATCCTTGTGTTTTGGAAATGAGGGGCACATTTATGTAAACTTAGAACACTGTGTAGTGGGGAGATCTCAGAATTGAAATGTTGGCACTTTTTGTTTGAAAGCTCTGTCATCTTTTCAGTTTTAACAATAAATTCCTCCAGGTTTCTGTGTCCAAAGATCTCTGCTACTCCTGGGTCCTCTTTACCCAGGAGAGGAGCTCTCAGAAAAGAAGCCTACCTAACACCATCAGTTGCCTTTCTATTGGCTAACACAGAGCCCTACTTATATTGTTAGTCGATCTAAATAAACGCCTTCCCTGTCCTCACACAACATCCACATGGCTGACTTCCAAGGCCATGGCTGTTTCCAGACTCACTACATTCCACAAGTCCTAGGAATTTTGGCTTATCTGAAAAAAACCCTTACCCTGACCTTGAATTTCAGGGCTCCTTCCTTCAGATTGAATTGTTGGGGGCTATTGGGCTATGGTGAGGCCACCCCACATAACTCCTATATACCCCCACACCCAAATACACACACATACACACCCCCCCCACACACATATACATACACAGACCTACAATACACACACACACACACACACAGTAACTATGATCGCCCAACAATTGTTTCATTGTTCTTCAGAATTTAGAAGCTAACACTCCCCAGTCATATGACAAGGAATGAACCTCCTTCTTTCTAGAAGAAATGTTAACAATTCTATTTCAAATAGACAGAGGGTCTCCTTCCACTCTTGCTGCATGAGATCCATGCTACAATCCTTAGTTAAGCTCTGTGGTGCATGGCCAAAACTGGGGCAGCTGTGGCTGGGGCAGGCCCCGGGATCTGACTGTTGTGAAATATGCAGTTCGTCGTTTTGTTTTATAGACTGAGCAGGTGCGCTGTGTGGTTGTACCCCGCCCCCACTCGCTTCCTCAGTGCCCAGCTCCTCTGCTCCTGTTTCCTGGGCCAACCCATGCTCACTTCTTTCCCTCCAGGCCTGCTAGTCTCCTTCTCCACAGAGACTGGGAAATTAAGGCCAAGATGTAGCCACTTGTGCTGGTCCTGGCCGTGGGAATCACCAGAGGGGACAGAAGTTGGGGCATCTTGTAAACTTTGTTTTTTTTTAAACTGCAACACTGGTCTGGTCTTGCAGTTTCTGATAATTATTTCCCCATTTGTGAATTAAGCGGGATAAGGTGTGTGAAATTGCCTCAGAGACACGTGACATTTCGTTACACTTGGTCCCCAGTGTGAAGTAAGACCGTATCATGGTAAAGTAATTGCGTGTAGGGGAGAAAGCTGGTTCAGTGAAAACTCTCAATTTTGAAATATTCTTAAATAAATAAAATTTAACTCTTTCTTACGTATATATAGTTATTCAACTCAGGAAAATAGCAATAGCATTGATTAGATGGTTGGTTTCATGAACATAAGAATGTGCTGTGTTTGGTATTTCAGTTGGGAGTTGTTTTCTCACGTTTGCTTCAAATATTTTTAGGAAACCCTGTATTCTGCCACATTCACACTTCTTACGTTGCTATTAGTTTAGATTATTAGTTTCCCAAGCCCGTTTTTCCATATATGAAATTACCTAGTCGCCAAGTAGCACTTATCTGAATTATAATAAATTCTCAATCTCAGAGCTGCCGCTGCGAAAACCATGTCTGTGCCAGGCCCTGCACCAGGCATGTTACCTAGGCAACTCCATGCCAGTTCTCACAGAAACCCTGGGACGGAGGAACAGCATCCCTTTGAATAGGTTTTTAAAAATCGAGTGTTTGAAAGGTGACAGATTTTGCCAAGAATCCTAATTGTAAAGGCAGGATTTGAACTCAAGCTTAGCTGATGGCAAAATTACTTCCCCGAGCGAGATCCAGAAGGAGGGAGGTTCTTATTCTTCGAATGCAAAGTAGCACGAGAATGGCAGGGTCAGCGTCAGCGGTTAGATAAAGAACAAGGAATAGTCCTGCTGGTATCTGCGGACTAAGAAAGTTTGCCAGCACAGAACGAACCTATAGATTTTTTTTTTCTTTTAAAAGTTGTGAGGTATACCGTACATTACAAAAATGGGAATAAAACATACACGCAGGCCTGAAATTCAACTGGTCCTCATCGGCATTTACAGCCCGCAGCCTTCTGATTGGTTAGACGGGAGGCAAGCCAGTTGTTAAACATTTTGAAGGCTGCCCTGAGGGGGTCTGTGAGATCAGTATTTGTGCCTGTTGGGTGTTCCCTAGTCCTCTTCGTTCCTCCTCCTCTTCTTTACCTCAAGGTCCATCCCGTACGGATGTTCTCTTGGTGTCCTACCTTCTTTGCTCCCCGAATGGTGAACTACAGAACAGAATGCTCACGCTGACTACCAGAGTGCAGAGTGCCCAGTGGGGATCCTTAGATCCCACCCTGGACGCCACCACAGTCTGGGCCCCTCTGTTGCTTAATGGAGACCTACACATACCTCATTTCGTAAGGACAGCTAACACTGACAGCTCTACTGACAAAGCATTGGCTTCCCCTGAACCTATTAATGCCAGACCGTATTAGCGGCTTAACTGCTTAAGGGGACAATGGGTAGATCTCAGGTGCTAGTGTGTGTCCTTGATGAACGCCAGGGCCCCCTATTTCCCTGACTTCCACCGGCATGAGGAAGAGCAAGGGTTTGATGGCTTCCCTGGAGTGTCGCCAGCCAGCTGTGCCCAGCTTCCACATCTTGCCTCAGCTCCACCAAGTTACAAGTACAACGGGAAGAAAATACTAAGGTGTTTCAGCACCCAGGTCCTCTGACCAGAAACAGAATCATTTCAGTGACCTTGAGTAACAAGGTTACTACCCTATATTTATCTCCATCCTCTCACTGGTGACTTTCCATACGTATCAGGGCCTATACTGTTCCCCTTAGGAAATACAAAGACAAAGGTCACGGTCTGCCACTCCCTAAAGTTTATTTCTTCAAGAAAGAAATGCCAACATTGTAATTTGCCTTATTGTTCCATGGCAGTCTTTTTCTCCTGTGATTGATCTTATAAATTAGCCAGTCAGAAAAGGGGGCTCTTTGGAACCTCGAGGACACAGGTACATACGTGTGGGCTTTGTGAACGTGCGTTCACCCCATCTGGTGGTCACTTACTTGCTGGGATCCAAGCTTAGCTTGGTTGAGAAGGATAGAAGGCGTCAAAGAGGGCACGAACTGGAAACAATAGATGCGGTAGAACAAAAAAGCCAATTTTATTTTTCTTTTTCCCAAAGACAAATGAAAAAATAACTCACATGTTTGACCAACTCTAGGGTTATGTAAATTTCCCTGGGAATGGAACTTGGTCCTACCACCCTGAACCATTTAATTTCTCATGGTCTTTCTTCACTATTTAAGCAGAGAAAGAACCAATAAATTCTTCACTGAAGTACAATTGGTATAGTCACAGCAGTCCCAACGGAAGGTGCTACTTTGTTCCTCACCAAAGTCATTTTGCTCTTTCCTGCCTCAGGGCTTTTGCACCCCCTGTTTCCTCTGCCTGGGACTCTCTTTTCCAGATCTTTCCATGACCAGTGCCGGCACTCCCGTAGCTCGGATGTCACTTCCTCAGACAGGCTTCATTGACCTTCACACTCAGCTACCTCAGCCCCATTCCTGCTTTAATTTCTCCGGAGTGTTTCACTGCCTGAAACTATTTTATTATCTGTATCTCTCCTCCAGGATAAGCTTTCTTGCTCAAGGCTGTGTTCCCAGCACCCTGTACAAAGTCGGTGCTCAATAAATATTTATTGAGTACGTGAATGACTGAATGTGACTTAAGACAAGAGCCCATGGGATGAAATCAGTCCATGTGGTTCACAGGAAAAGTCCAACTCCAGAACTGCACAAAAAAAAAGAAAAGAAGAGTAAAAGAGGGAGGGGGGAAGAAGGACGGAAGAAAGAAAGCAGAACTTGGGGGTTTAAGTTTAAATTCAAGGCAATAAGGATGGAGAAGAGGCCTTTGAGAGAGATTCCAGTGATCCAAAGAGCCCAGTTTTCTAAGAAGGGGATGAGGAAGGGAGAGACATTTTCTTTTCTTTTTAAATGTCTATTTATTTTTTTGAGAGAGAGAGACAGAGAGAGACAGAGTGTGAGTAGGGGAGGGGGAGAGAGAGAGAGGGAGACACAGAATCTGAAGCAGGCTCCAGGCTCCAGAGCCCGACGTGGGGCTCGAACTCATGAACTGTGAGATCATGACCTGAGCTGAAGTCAGACGCTTAACTGACTGAACCACCCAGGTGCCCTGGGTCCTTGTCTTTAATTGCCTGATTGTCTCCCCAGAGACCTGTTTAGCAAGCTAGGGTTCCT